GAGAGAGAGAGGGAGAAACATCCACGTGAAAGGTACACATTGAGTGGCTGCCTCCCCCACATCCCCAACTGGGGCCGGGGACAAACTGCAACCGAGGTGCATGCCCTTAGCGGACACTGAACCGGGCCTCTCTGGACCGCGGGCCGACACTCTAACCGCTGAGCCAAACCGGCCAGCGCTGTTTCCCTGTGTTCTTAAACAACAATGCTCGTCACTGTCTAGAACTAGTAACGTGTTTGACTTTGCTCAGCGCCCATACTGGAGCTGCGGGAGGCTCCCCGAGACTGCCAGCAGTTCACGTGCTCACCCCCATGCGCCCTGGAGCCTCTGTGTTCTGCCGCTCCGCTCCTCCTCTTTAAGTTGTCCCATCCTATTGAGAGTTAGGAAATTATATTCGTATTAAGTGAGAAAATAGATTCTACTGAGTAAATGGAAGAGTGCTACTGCATGAATTTTAAGAGTTCTGAGGCTTTTCTGGGGATTCTGCGGTTGCTTATTGACAAAAATAGTTTCTGAAAAGTGCGAGAATACAGTTGGAAATTGGATTTCTGATGGATAAATCAAACCCTGTTAAAAGATAAAAGTTTTGCCCTGGCTGGTTTGGCTCAGCGGTTAGAGCATCAACCTGCGGTCCAGAGGGTCCCGGGTTCGGTTCCCACTAAGGCACGTACCTCGGTTGCAGTTTGTCCCCGGCTCTGGTCGGTCATGCGGGTGGCGGCCACTCGACGTGTCCCTTTCACGTTGATGTTTCTCCCTCTCTCTCTCTCCCTCCCATTCTGTCTGAACAAAAAATGGAAAAATGTCCTCGGGTGAGGATAAAAAAATTAATTAATTAATTTAAAAAAATAAAAGATAAAAGTTTCACATAATTTTAAAAACCACTTGAGTTTTCATGAATGTGTTGAATGACTCACCCTAAGAAACAGTGCTGACCTAGTTGCTGGGAGCTGCGTGCTTCTGGCTCGTGTCAGCAAGGGGAGAACACTGGGCAGATGCAGGCTGTGGTTTCCAGCCCTTTAAGCTGTGCTGTTTTCTTCATCACCATGGCAACTCCCGCTGGTTTGTTCTTGGTTGTTATTTCTCCTACAAAACTTGGTGCGCACCAGTCGTCAGGCTCCTGCAGACAGTGAGGAAGCCGTTGGTAACGAAGCAAAGGGCAGACCGCTCTGTGCTGGTGTCGCTGGCGGAGGGCTGCATCTCATTAACATTCCGAGACATCTGGATACCAGTCGGCTCAAAACTCACTTCTCTTGAGAATAAAAGGGATGATTTCAAAGTTCCCATTGTAAAGTAGGTGCTTAATTCTATCACCAGCCCTTCCTCCAACTTGACCGAATTTGATAAATAATAAACATTGTCATGGGTGGTGTTTCCTTCGTTTCTCTGGTGAATTGAAAGCACAGATTACTCTGTAGTCCATCAGAAAGCTGTACTTGATTAACAGATACTGCCCTAAACTCTGGATACAAAGAAAAACAAAAAGGTTTTAGACTAAGGTTTTTACCTCCTCATTTCTGCCCCTGTGTCCCATCTGAGCTCTGGCCCTGCTCACCGGTAGCCTGGAGGAGAGGCTAGGTTTTATAGAAAGGGACAACGTTCAGACTGCAACTGTGATCCTCCTGGTTCATTTTGGTTTAAAACATTTTAAGGTTCTCCGGTTCCCTGTATGTATATGTATATTACCTGTTATTTGGTGTTATTGAAAACTTTTTTTTTTTCAAATTGAGTATTCTGGAAGTATCAGGCGTCCAAAAATGCTAGGTTTTCCCTTCCTTTCAGAACTTTGAAGTCTCTGCCATCATTTTGCCCTTCAGTACTCCAGTTCGCTCATTTCTCCTGATCCACTGAATTTACCATTTTAGTGAAGTGTATCTGCTTTTGCAGCCATTCTTGGGGCCCGGTAGAGTGTGCTGCAGAATCTTCAGGTGACAGTGTGTATTGAGGACTTGTCTTTGGTCTCCAAAGAGGGGGGAGAGCAACTAGCTTTCCCTGCCTGTGGTTAACACCTGCATTACTGGAGTTTGTTTTGTCTTGAGTGTTGCTTCAGAGTATTTTATTTATGGTACTTTGAGATTTTGTGTTTTTCAGATTAACAGTTTAAGTAATTTGTTCTAGCTTATCTGCCAAGTTCCAGAAATAAAAACATTTCTGTACCACTGATTAGTTAGAAAGTTAAAATTAAAACATGTTTCTTCTTCAACCCCAGCAATACCACCTGCATTGCCTCTGGGCCTCTCTGAGCCCCACCCTAGTCTGTGCGGCAGCTTCCCTTCCCTGACAGCTCCTCCCCGCCTCCAGCTACCGGAGGTTCTTCATTGGCTGGTAGCCTGCAGGCCTGCGGTGGGAGGTAGTTTAGTTTGGGCTGCTGCTGCTGCTTCCTCCAAGCCTTGCAGTGGAGCTGTTGATGGGTGTGACTAAGAAAGAAAATTTCACTTTGCAAACCAGAACTCCTGAGTTCTGTCCATTGGAAACCTGTTTTTTGTTTACATGTACAGTTCTGACTCATCATTCCAGGACTTTTGCAATGAATGAGACTTTTTATTTACACCCTTTTGTAGAAGGAGGGGTCTAGTTTCTAATTAACATCTGTGTCTAGAATACATGTTCCCCCTGCTGTCCAAAACTAGTGTTTCTGTGAAACCTTTTGTAAGGAGAAATGGCATAAATTATAGAAGAAATTACCATTAATTTACATGGGAAAAGTTTTGAACATTCTCAGATCCAAAAAATGACATGCGAAATACCACCTAAAGCCTAGAGCAACACTAACGTATTGGAAGCAGTGCCTTTTGCCCGCTCAGGGCGCCTGCTGCCCCCGGAAGGGCCGTGGCAGAGCCGGTGCTGAGCACCCTTCCGTGTGGTGGAAGTGCGTGTCTCTGAGTTTCTGATCAGCATGAACAGGCACGGCGTGGGTCCTTCATAAAGTGAAGAGGGATAACTCGGGCCACAGGGTGGCCGCAGCATTAGGATTGCTATCTGATTTATGAGTATTACTGTTTCAAGACACTTTTTAGTTTCCTGCTGAATGTATTAATTATAAGCATTGAGTAAGAGAAAGTAACTTAAGACAGCAAGGAAAGTTAAAATAACTTAGTGACTACTTCCACAGTCTCTAAAGGGTAAAAAAAAAAATCAAAGTTCATTAAGCTGCTTAAAACCTATCAGGTTAGACTTGAAAAGAATTCACGCTTGCCAACACTTTGTAATACTTGTAATAGCCGTGGTAGCAGTTGAAACTGAGGTGTCGCCTCACGGGCATGGTCCTATGCAGTCCTGACAGACGCCTGGGAGCAGCGGTTGCCCCTCCCCGGGAAGCAGGTGAGACACCCAGCAGATGCCCCAGGCTGGGTCAGTGGCCAGAGAGTGCTGGGCCCAGGCCTCTGGCCTAACGCAAGTTTCACTTTTCATTTGAAAGGCACAAACACTTGGGTTGGTTTGGTTTGGTTTTGCTTTGCTGCATAGGAGGCTTTTGCGGAGGAGGAGACAGCTCAGTCTTCCCAGAAGACAAGCCACGGACACATCAGGACCTGCCACAGGCCTCAGTGCAAATACTTCATTTACAAATTGTATTTTGATTTTATCTGGAGTACATTTTAGGTACTAGTACTTTTGCTTTTTAGTACTTTTTAGTCCTTTCATGATATATATGGACACTTGGGGTGAATCATGAATAATTTAACATGTATATCTGAATTTAGTGCCTGGCTTTTCTCCTTCCACCTTAGTTTTAAGAGTCAGTAAATATTCATATGTTGTTCAACACGTGTTTGAGTACCTAATGCATGCCATTTCCTGTGTCAGGAGTTGGAGCAGCAGAAAAAGCAGTCTGTCCTCATGGGGAGGCCAGGCTGTCAGCAGAGAGAGGACACGGTCAGTGGTCAGACACTGAAGAGGCTATAAGGGGCCGGAAGGTGGGGAGGAAGCAGGGTGGTCAGAGAGGGCTCCTTGGAATAACGGAGTTTTCAGTAGGGACCTGAGAGAAATGGAGAAGGAAGCAGGCTATGCAGACATGTAACCAAGTAAGTTTATCCCACAAGTATTCTGAGAACCCACCTTTCTAAATATAATTATTTTATTTTTCTAATAGGCCAAAGAAATATGTTCAGCCTCTGAAGTTGCTCTCTATGATCACATACACAAAAGATAAAATTCTCTTAAAACATATAGAATATGTTTTCTGAAACAGAAACTAGGTTTTAAAATGACTAGGGATGTTTTCTCAAACTACCAGTTCATTATTGTATATTTCTGTCTGGAACTCTCTGAGCTGTGCCTGGGTCCCCCACTTTTTGTGACTCCCCGTGGAAGTTGCACCCACCTTCACTCAGATGCCCTACGTCACACAAGCACACACAGTGCCCGGAGCCCCGCCCAGGGTGCGGTCCAGCAGCAGCCTCGCTCAGGCCTACAGGGGCCAAGGAGCAGTAGGCCCTTGGAGTACCACATGGCTTAGCCCTGCAAAACCTGGAAGGGTGATTGGCCAAGACCCCGAAAACCAGAGTGCTGGGCACACCTAATGTGTGCCCCTCTGCCAAACACCTGTGCCGCTAAGTACGGGGCACCACGGCTCAGAGGCGCTTGTCCGCTCGGCCACCGCCCTCCGCAGTGAGAGGGATGCTCATCCCGGGAGGGAGCCGACTTTCTCAGCTCTCGTTCCTGGTTGGAAGAGGCTGGCTGTGGGTGCGGGCAGGGACAGCAAGGCTCTGAGATTCCCATTTGCAGTGAAACCTCTGTTTAGCCATCTGACATCCCAGCTGAATCTGTCGGACCTGTTGACCACCCGTTCGCCCATATCTGTGTGTTGTCAGAATGCAAACTTCTTTGAGTCCCTGCTACCAAGTCACCCAAACCAAAAAGTAGAAGAAAATAAAGCTTTTGCTGAGTTAGTTGTCTTCCTAAAAGTGTAAAAACCATTCCTTTGAAAGTAATTTTTCCTGGTTTTTCAGAAGGATGTTCTAAATGCACCCCCTCTTTCTCGCCCCTCCCTCTGTGAACGCCAGGCATTCGCTACAGCACGGACGTGAGCGTGGACGAGGTGAAAGCGCTGGCCTCCCTGATGACGTACAAGTGCGCTGTGGTCGGTGAGTGGCCGCCTTTGCCGTCACCCGAGAGCTCTTGGGGAAGTGTCTGTAGACAAGGTGACTTTTAAGGTGTTAGAGAAATAGGCTTTAGCAGAACTGATCTGTTTGTTTTACAATATAAGGCTTACATCATTTTTCAGTTAGTCTTAATTAAGATTTAGTATTTTTTTAATGTTTGTGTATTGTTTTTTTATTGGTTTTAGGGAGAGAGAGACATCAGTATGCGACAGAAACAGTTGGTTGCCCTCCTGTACGTACCCCAGCTGGGGACCGAACTCGAAACCTTGGCCTGTGCCCTGGCCAGAACGAGCAGGTGACAGTTCAGTGCACGGGCAAAGCTCAGCCAGTAGAGCCACGCTGGCCAGGGCTCGATTTAGTGGTTTTTTTTAATGGGAAACTTTTTATATCAAGTGATTGGATTTTCTCGAAGCGCAGAACCTTTGTTTAAGGCCCTTTCCATATTCAGTACTTAGACCAGATCAGCAGAAGGAAAATAAATGTGTATTTGCTTTCAGAAGTAGTGAGGCCTACTGCGCAGGCCCGCGCGGTAGTGAAGCATACGCGCAGGTCCGCGCGGTAGTGAGGCCTACTGCGCAGGTCCGCGCGGTAGTGAGGCCTACTGCGCAGGCCCGCGCGGTAGTGAAGCCTACTGCGTAGGTCCGTGCGCGGTAGTGAGGTCTGCGGCGCAGGTCCGCGCGGTAGTGAAGCCTACTGCGTAGGTCCGTGCGCGGTAGTGAAGCCTACTGCGCAGGTCCGTGCGCGGTAGTGAGGCCTGCGGCGCAGGTCCGCACTGTAACTTGCCTAGGCTGTCATTTCTGCATGCTGGAATCTTAAAGTGCACAATTTCAGAAGAGGTCCATGTGCGTTTATTGCTCGACTTTTCTACAGTGAAAGCTCAAAGCCTCGCACATCTTTGTAACATTGTGCAGTGCCTTCTTCCTCTTTAAGTGTGTTAGCCTTTCTGCCAACAACTTTTGGCTTCTCTTTCAGATGTGCCATTTGGGGGTGCCAAAGCTGGCGTGAAGATCAACCCCAAGAACTACACTGTGAGTATCAGAGTGAGGCCGCACGTGGCCGTGCACAAAGGGCAGGGCCGCCAGGTGTCCGTCCCCCAGACCACTGAGGCTGGTGCGTGGTCTCCATCTATTGCTGTCAAAGGAATGGACAATCAAGTAGATAATTAGCTCATGAGTGTTCGCCATACAAGAGGCCCCCTGCTTAACGTCAGTGTCCTTCCTCATTTTCTTACTTGTTCAAGGGCGATGACTCTCCGTATTCTTAGGTGCTTAAATCCATGTTTATAGTTGACTACGATCTGAGATTTTTGTATCAAGGTATCAAGATTTAGTGACAAATAACTAATCTGGTAAAAATCTTACTGTTTATGCTGTCAGTCCAAGATAATTAAGCTAGTTGTTACTATGTTTTTTATAGTACCAAATTAATATCTGTATACAAATACAATAAATATGATTTTATTCTTTTAAAAATTTGCCACTTAAATGAAAGTATACCATAGAGATTGCTCACACGGTTTTATATTAATGAAGAACAGGAACTGAGGTTTGAGCCCTACTTCCACTCTATCGTCTGTGTAACCCAACCTCTCTTCTCATTTTCTCATCTTTAAAATGGAAATGCTGCTTTGTGAGTTGTTCTGAGAAAGCTGAGAAGCTACATAAAAATGTCCTATAAACAGAAAATCCGATGCGACTGTTCTCTGTGCACGCGGCCTGTCTGGCCAAGCCCCTCACTGCTTTGTGGGTTCTCCGCAGGACAACGAGCTGGAGAAGATCACGAGGAGGTTCACCATGGAGCTGGCCAAGAAGGGCTTCATCGGTGAGTGCCGCCTGCCGGCCTCGGCGCAGGGGCCGACTGCAGGGCGGCGGTCTTCGCCTGCATCCCGCTTCGCACATGTGCGCATGCGTAGGGTTTTCTGCTTGCTTGGCGAGGCTGGTTCTGTGATGAGTGTGGTGGGGAGCCCGGGCCTCGGCATGACACGCCGCTCGTGGGAGCGTTCAGGGCCCGTGTGCGGTGTGGACGCCGGAAGAGGCCACTTCCACCTCTTCTTGTACATGGTAACGGTGTTGGTCACTCAAACAGCACTGTACAGTCTATTACAACTTCCAGAAAGACCGAGGCCACGCTTTCAGGAACGGATAATGCCCGTGTCATAGACATTTTTACAATGGAAAAGCAGTCTGCATGGTCCTGCTGTTCTGATAGCGCTGAGAAACCTGGTGCCGTTTGGAACGGGGGCTCGCGCTCGCCTGTGCCTTCAGGGCCGTGGGCACCCGCAGAGGTGGGAGCGCGCTGGCGGCTCGCTCTGCTGTCGCTGGCCGGCTGGGTCCTGCGGGTCTTCTCTGTGGCTGTCTTGCACCCATGTCAGAGGCACTGGTTGTCGGCACACCTCCTCTTCCTCCCACCGCTGGGCTTGCACTGGCCAGTGAGCTGACTACCTCCTGCGCAGAAATGCCTGCTACTCCGGAGATTGTGCGTTGAAGTCATGTTCAGCCTATGGATAGACTTCACAATTTTTTATATCATATTTCCTTTTCCCTTAAATCTCAGAAGCATTTCATAGTCTTCAGTGGTTTCGTACTTTATTTAGTTGTATTTATTGCCCATTATCCAGAGTATATTCTGCTTAATTTTCTCTATATTGACAAGTATCTTGGAGTTCCAGAGGTTAAAAATCTGGAGTTCCAGAAGATTCATTGAAAGTGAAAGCTTAAATACCAGCAATTTGACTTGTGTGCAAAGAAACTCATTCCTTCTTAAACCACAATGCAGCCAAACCCTCCTCTGGTCCTAGAGATCTTTGTAGCGTAAGATGGAAGCAGAAAGATTCTTTCTCTCCCGCCAGGGCACACGCTTGTCCTGGCGGACCTGTGGACTTGGTGATGTTTATAGCTCTTGTGTTATGCCTCCCTTTCCACGGAGAGCAGCAGGGGTTTTGTTGTTGTTGTTGTTGTTGTTGTTGTCTTCTATTGTTTTTTTTTTTACAAAGACCTCTCCAGGGTTCTTAGGAAATGTTATTTATTTATTTATTTTATTATTATTATTTTTTTATCCTCACCGGAGGACATTTTTCCATTTTTTGTTCAGATAGAGTGGGAGGGAGAGAGAGGAAGAAAAAGAGAGAGAAACATCGACGTGAAAAGGACACATCGAGTGGCTGCCACCCGCACAACTCAACCAGGGCCGGGGACAAACCGCAACCGAGGTACGTGCCCTTAGCAGGGACCAAACCCGGGTGTCTCTGGACCGCAGTCCGACGCTCTAACCGCTGAGCCAAACTGGCCGCGGCGAGAGCAGCGGTTTTAGCCTGCGTCTGAGTCCTGGCCCTTCCACACTGCATCAGCTTTTCAGTTTCTGTGAATAGCCTCAGCCAGCGTTGACGGGGTCGCATTGGCTCTGAAGGCCAGTTAGTGAAGTGTTGCTGTCTGAACCATGTTAAGTCTCCCAGTCCCTGACACTGAGTGTCTTTCCATTTGTTTAGGGTTTTAATTTCTTCCAATGAAGTTTTGTAGTTTTCAGTGTATAAGTCTTACACTACTTTTTTAAACTTTATTCATAAACATTTTATTCTTTTTGATGCTCTTCTAAGGAATATTGCTCTGTGGGATCTTCTCTTGTGAGATCTTTGATGTCAGGATAGTAGTGGCTAATAGAATGAGTCAAGAAGTATTCTTTCCTTTTCTATTTTTTTAAAAATTTGTGAAAGGTTGGCGTTAATTTTGTTGTGTGAATTTAGATATCACCATTGTAAACTGTTATGTTTGCAACCGTTTACTTTGTAAACTTTGTTTAAAAAAAAATACCCTTGCAATAGCCCAATGTCTCCAGTAGAACCCTTTTGTCAGAGGATGAGGTAGAAGACAGCATTACTCCTTGTCAGTGGGAGGCTGGGCTTGGGTAGTGAGACTTCGTGAGATTTATAAGATGCCTGAAAAGGTACCAGGATGCAGGCTTCCAAACTGGATGGGGGAGGAGGGCAGAGTGAGGAAAGCAGACAGTGACGTTTCAGTTGCCTTAGGCCAGTCCTGTGTCCATTGCATCTTAACTTGTACCGAAAAGTGCAGTGTTTAGCACCTTGGACCCTGAAATGCAGAAGAACATTAAAATGTACCTATATTGCTGCTTTAAAAGGAAAAATTGTAGAAAGGACTTGAGTATAGGTGTTAGAACGAACTTTATTTTGGGGAGACTTAATACTTTAACCATTTTAAAGTTGTATTTTTCCTTTTATAAAAACACAGTGGATTTGTATTATACAATCGAAACAATATAGAAAGCTGTAAACAAGGCTGAAATTCAAACCCAATGAACAAGTTTGCACATATATTTCTAAACTCAACACGTGTGCACGTGGAAGTCTGTGTGCATAGATACTATACAGAGAGAGAGAGAGAGATAAATGGGATCATATACATGGTGTGTGGAACCTGTATATTCTCTCATGTCTGTTTTGGTGATGGTGCCAAGTCATTTGCATGGGTGTAGATCATCCTTTTTTTTTTTTTTTTTTTTCTTTATTGGTTTTTGGAGGGAGGAAGGAAGAGAGAGATAGAAACATCGAACATCGATGAGAGAGAACACTAATTGGCCACCTCCTGCATGCTCCCCACTGGGGATCAGGCCCACAACCTGGGCATGTGCCCTGACCAGGAATCAGACCAGCGACCTCCTGGTGCAGGGTCGACGCTCAACCACTGAGCCACACCAGCCAGGCTAGATCATCCTTTTATTCTCACTATTATTGGTACAAGTATTTCTACGTATTTCTGCCTTTACAGATTTGAGTGAGCATCATTTAACACATTTCTATCTGAATCTTACTGTGGCATCAGCAGTGTGTTGTCGTGGGCACCTGCTGCTGCTGTGGGCCAGCTTGTTATTCCCCAACTGTGATCTGAGGATTGAAAGCCAAGGCCTAGAACTTACATACACTGAGAAAGTTTGAATGGGAGGTCAGAGCTGCACTCCATCACGGGGAGAGGCGTTACGGGCGCACACCATTGCTTTGGCAATGTGTCTTTTTTCCGTCTTCTATTTGCTGAGAGGAGGGCTTACACCTCTAGTAAGCAGTATGTTGCTATGCTATCTCACACACATATACTCTCTAACCACAACAGTCCTCTCTTTTTAAAATGTGTTTTTATTGATTTTAGAGAAAGAGGAAGGGAGAGAAAGAGGAACATCGATCGGTTGCCTCCCATACACACCCAGACTGAGGATCAAACCTGCAACCTGGGTATGTGCCCTGACCAGGAATCAAAACTGGCAACCTTTCCGTGCACAGGATGATGCTCAACCAACTGAGCCTCACTGGCCAGGGCCACGGCAATCGTCTTCTTCAGAGCAAGATGGCATTGTCACCTCTGACTGCAGTTTAAGGGACTGAGATCGAAAAGGCACTTGTTTGCCTGTGCTCACATGTGCAGAAGTCCTGCTGAGGCTGTATCTGCACATACAGAAGTTCTGCTGAGTGGCTGTATCTGCACATACAGAAGCACTGCTGAGGCTGTATCTGCACATACAGAAGTCCTGCTGAGTGGCTGTATCTGCACATATAGAAGTCCTGCTGAGGCTGTATCTGCACATGTGCAGAAGTCCTGCTGAGGCTGTATCTGCACATGTGCAGAAGTCCTGCTGAGGCTGTATCTACACATACAGAAGTCCTGCTGAGTGGCTGTATCTGCACATACAGAAGCACTGCTGAGTGGCCATATCTGCACATACAGAAGCACTGCTGAGTGGCTGTATCTGCACACAGCTATTTTCCCAGTAAATGCCAGTGGGAGAAATGTTCATGTAACACTGTGTGTGTGTGAATCTGGTGGTGAAACATTTCATTAGTGTTTTTATGACTTCAGTTACCTAAGTGAAATCTAGTTTCCTTGCCATGGTAGCTTTGTTACAGAGAATTACAAGGATCTTTGTGTTTGAGATGAGTTTGTCTTCAACCTCAGGTGATGCCCTTTCCTTGCCCCCCAGGTCCGGGCATTGACGTGCCTGCCCCAGACATGAGCACGGGCGAGCGGGAGATGTCCTGGATCGCCGACACCTATGCCAGCACCATCGGGCACTATGTGAGTACCCCAGCAGGCCCAGCCTCATTCGCTGTCTGCAGGAATAACATGTGTGTTGTATGTGGAAGCAGAGACGTCACCGGGCTCATCTCCCCGCCTTGCATCATACCTTGACGTCCACGTTATTTTACTTCTGTGTCTATTCTTAACGTATAAATGTAGTGAACACGGATTGACTTTAACTTACATGCCTCCTATTCTGGATGCTGGGGTGGGACCCTCAAAGAGGGACCACCTCCCTGGGCAATATACTGTCCTAAGACACGAGAAAGAAGCATTCAATTCTAACTTTTTCCTCAAGAACTTTCATTTAAAGAGGAATTGAGACACATAAGCAAATAGGTTGTGGAGATCGTGGTACAGGGTGGGGTCACGGTTTCTGAAACGGTGCGGAGATCGTGTGGTACAGGGTGGGGGTCACGGTTTCTGAAACAGTGCGGAGATCGTGTGGTACAGGGTGGGGGTCACGGTTTCTGAAACGGTGCGGAGATCGTGGTACAGGGTGGGGGTCACGGTTTCTGAAACGGTGCGGAGATCGTGGTACAGGGTGGGGGTCACGGTTTCTGAAAAGGGTTTCCTGGAGGAGGTGTTGGGGCTGGATGTTGGAAATGGGAAGAATTGGAACATAGGGAGGTGAGGGCGGAGGAGGAGCAGCAGAGCCGGGGGGTCTAAGGTGAGGCATTCTTAGGAAGGGCTGTGTGAGGGTGGAAGGTAAGTGGACTAACGCAACAACATTGAAGCCTGGCGTTTTGTTTGTCCTGCTGGTCGGATGGGAGCCTCTGATGCTGCCCTCCCTCCAGGGGGTGGGCTGGAGGCAGCGTCAGGCTGAGCCAGAGCAGAGAGCCTCCCCTGTGGTCAGGACCGCGGGAGCCGGGCAAGCATTGGGCCGAGATAGACCAGCAGGATGGGCAGGGCCTGTGGGGTCGAGGCAGACGATGCGGGGTCGGAGGGAACCGGGAGGACCCCAGCAAAGCGCTGCCACGAGACAGAGCACAGGAAGGGGGGCACGTGTGTGTCCCTGGAAAACAGACATTCGAGGGGGAGGAAGAGGAAGGGAGCTGAGAGACGTCCATCTAAAACGCATGGGGCGTGCCTGCTGTGCGCAAGGCTGCGGTGAGCAAGGTGCTCCTTGCAGGGGGTGGATACTAGGAGTTTCCACGCCATGGAAACAACGGGAGCCTGGCGAAGACTTTGGGGATCAGATTAGAAAAGGCTCCTTTCAGACACCAACTCAAGTAAGGGCGGGGAGGGTTACAGGCAGAGGGACGCACCAGGCTGAAGATTCCAGTGTGCTTGAGGGGCACTTGAGAGAAGCCCAAGGGGCCAGAGTAGAGGGCCAGACTGTAGGGCCTAAGAGGCAGCAGATTACCGCCCTATCGTGACAGCGGGCTCCGCCTGTGCGCACGGATGTGGACAGGTGAGGGCGAAGTGTGCCTTCTCAGCCTCACTGCAGCAAGCATGGGATGGCAGGCAGGGCCCGAAGGGCCCAGAAGGAGCGGCAGCGCAGGCCTGCTCGGCCTTGGAGGGGCGGCCACGTGGTCGCAAGGGAAGTGCTCCACTAGAGGGGGGTGCGAGCACGGGCGTGTCCGTGTCGTGGGCGTGGAGGGGGAGGGCTTTCAGACGGGAGCAGCTCAGCAGCTGGCTGGTCCTGGGGGCGGGCGCCGCGGGGGGCAGGGTAGAGGGGAGGTGGGCCATGAGAGTAGTCTCCACTTGACAGACAGGACAACGGAAGGACGCTGCTGTCCCAAGAAGGGGGGTGTGGTCCATTCTGCACACTGAGTGGCTCTAGGCCACAGGCGCCCGGGCAGGGCCGGCAGGTCAGAGCACAGCAGCCGCTCGAGACTCCACAGGAGTTTTGGTTTTGACTGTCATTCCCAAAAAGGATGTTTTTCCAGTCACCTTTTTCTATTCGGTGAGCTCTGGGTTTGTTTTCCTCTTCTTTTTTTTCTTTTTAAGCAAGACACTAGACTGAAGAGTACACAGTAGTGGACAGGATCTTGTTCATAGCTCATTCTCAGTGGTGACAGCGAAAGAGTGCTGTGGGCCCGTCAGCTGGCACCTCGGGGTGGCCTGGGCACGGCCTTCCTCCTGTGGGCCCGTCAGCTGGCACCTCGGGGTGGCCTGGGCACGGCCTTCCTCCTGTGGGCCCGTCAGCTGGCACCTCGGGGTGGCCTGGGCACGGCCTTCCTCCTGTGGGCCCGTCAGCTGGCACCTCGGGGTGGCCTGGGCACGGCCTTCCTCCTGTGGGCCCGTCAGCTGGCACCTCGGGGTGGCCTGGGCACGGCCTTCCTCCTGTGGGCCCGTCAGCTGGCACCTCGGGGTGGCCTGGGCACGGCCTTCTCCTGTGGGCCCGTCAGCTGGCACCTCGGGGTGGCCTGGGCACGGCCTTCTCCTGTGGGCCCGTCAGCTGGCACCTCGGGGTGGCCTGGGCACGGCCTTCCTTTTCAGAATGATGGGAAATTCAGAACCAGGACTTAGGTAAGGAGCCACAGTTTCTGCCACTTGTTTGCAGACGTGGACCTGGACCAGGTAGCTCCCTCTGCCAGGCCCCCCCTGGAGAGCCCGGTGCGAGGAGACTGGCCCTGCCTGGGGAGCGGGCGGGCACCATGCCCGGCCTGTCAGCGCCAGCATTTGCATTTCTGTTGTTCAGAAGCACTTGGCATAGACTTGCAAGTCTGTATTCATAAGTATTCATTATTCAAGGGGGAAAACTGTGGGAAAACTACTCATTCTGTAAATCACTTTACCAGGCTACTTTTAAAAAATTACTTTTATTTATTTATTGTTGGTAATTATATGAGTAACAACAATTCTCAGTTCTCTCTTTAAAAATATTTAAACACTAGAAAAAACACCAGACCACTTTCTACCTCACTGCTGAGGACATCTGCGGGGTCGGGGCGAAGTGGGGCTGGTTCTTGTTCCCGTGGTGGCAGGTCGCCTCCGTTATTCAGTAGTCTGTCTGTACTTCAGCCATGATGCACAATGCTTTCTTCACTTTATATTGATTTCCTGTATGTAACAGGACTATCTAGTTTCTCTGTCTCACTGATCAATGTGTCTATTCTGCCCCAGGTGCTACAGTTCATAGTACATTTGAAGCCTTCCCAAGACCTTTCATCTTTTTCTAATTACACTTGTTTGGGAACAAGCACACATGCACACAGCTCAGTGTACTGAAAGGTGGTGTGAAGACTTACCCTCCCACTTCACTTCCCAAAGTGAACCCCTGACACCCCAGTACTCGACTCATGTAGGTATGGGCCTCGATGCCTTACCCATGTGTACTTTTTGTTTAACCCAAATGAAACCATACTAAATATACAAAAAAATTGAATTTCTCGAAGTAGAATTTCTGGGTTAGTGGGCATTCTTATTTTGGTAGGTTTTCTAAGTTGCCCCCTTTTTTTTTTTTTTTTTGTACGTGCCCCTAGCAGGAACTGAACCCTGGACTCTCTGGCCCGCAGGCCGACGCTCCAGCTGCTGAGCCAAACCAGCCAGGGCTGCCCCAAATTATTTTGATTTCTTTTTTTAAAGTGGCATTTTACTGAATTTGTAGATTCATTTGACAAAAGAATATCTTTACAACATTTAGTCTTTACATCCAAGAACACATAATGCCTCTTCCTGTCCGAAGCTCTGTTTGGGTGACATACTTGAGTCTTTTTATTTGGTACGTGCCCCTTAGCGGGAACCGAACCCGGGACTCTCTGGTCCGCAGGCCAGCGCTCCAACCGCTGAGCCAAACCGGCCAGGGCCATACTCGAGTCTTAATGGTAGATGTTAAGACACTTAAGGGTGGGATGTACCCTGACTTAGTGAGGCTTAAGTCTTTGTGGAAGGAATAATACTTTTAAGCTGAACTGTCTCTATTTTTGCGACATTGTATTTGAGGTTAAATTCCTAGATGCCGTTTCTCCACTGGGAAGTGTGGTCACTTTCATACACTCCTAGGAGCAGAACCTGAAGCAGCTGTGTGGCTCCTGATGAATGCACACCTCGGGCACACCCTCCTGACGAGCGTGTTCTCGTTCAGTACGAACATGTTGCTTTAATCCTTCATTTCACTGGTTCATCATATGGAATTCTCCTTGAGGGTTCATCTTTGAAGTCGGACTCTCCTCTTGCAGGACATCAATGCCCATGCCTGTGTCACCGGGAAGCCCATCAGTCAGGGCGGGATCCACGGACGAATCTCTGCCACTGGCCGGGGCGTTTTCCACGGGATTGAGAACTTCATCAATGAAGCATCTTACATGAGCATTTTAGGAATGACACCAGGGTTTGGAGATAAAACATTTGTTGTTCAGGTACAATTTTTGTTTCTTAAAGAATAACTGATCATATATATACATACACATGCACACATACATATAGTAAGTTTTTAAATGTTTTTAGATTTGCAATTTTTAACATGTTTCTTGTGTATCTCTTAAGTTTTAGAATGGTGGTTTTCAGAGTGTCACATCCTTTATCGTTTGAACCATTGTGATTTGTGTGACTAGACTCATTTAAGTGTCCCGGAGACATAGGAAACTGTCACAAGCTTCTTTGCTCGATATTTAAATTGAAACTGTATCCAGAAGGGGAGTGTCTTAAACTGTTCAGAGTGCACACAAAGAATTTGTCTGGTATTTGGTTATTTTATTTAGGAGGATTAGGTTGAGTGCTACTTTAAAATAGAATTCATATTCCTCCCAATTCGTGACTTACCTTTTTTGTATTTTTTCCATTGATTTTTAGAGTGAGTAGAAGGAAGGAGTGAGGTGGAGAAAAGGAGAGGGAAACATTGATGTGAGGGAGACACATCAATTGGTTGCTTCCCGCATGTGCCCCAACCAGGGCCAGGGATCAAACCTGCAACCCTGCGGTGCAAGGGACAACACTCTAACCACTGAGCCACACTGGCCAGGACAGTGACTTGCCTTTTTATGACCATAGCACTTCTGGTCATGAGGACCTGGTGGTATGGTTGACACCACTGTCATTCGTTAGAAATCAGCAAGGCTGCACTGGCTCAAGTCAAGGTCTCCTTATCACAGGCGACAAAGGGTGGCTCCACATTATTCAACACAGACATTTATTGTTGAAGAGGAACCGCTTAGTTCCTTGTTTCTTTTGGCAAAAGGATGTTGAGAATTGCTTCTAACAGAATGTCAGGCGCATTGGGCGGCATGTGACTCTTCCATTTACCTGTGGTGAGAATGTGTTTGTGCGCCGTCCGTCCTTGTCCCTGCAGGGATTCGGCAACGTGGGCCTGCACTCGATGAGATACTTGCATCGCTTTGGTGCTAAATGTGTTGGTGTTGGTGAATCTGATGGGAGCATATGGAATCCAGATGGTATTGACCCAAAGGAACTAGAAGACTTCAAATTGGTATGTTAATCTAATAGCAGAGCAGTTTAATTATCCTGAATATTGTAAAGTTGCTATGAGTTTTATTTAAATTTATTATTCTTTTAAATGTAACTCAAAGAGTCTTAAAGATAACTTCGCTTCATATCATAGACACCAAGTGTAAACATTTAAACTCTGGTGTGGCTGTTAATTCTGATGTTCAATTAATCACAGCAACATGGATCTATCCTGGGCTTCCCCAAGGCAAAGCTGTACGAAGGGAACATCTTGGAGGCCGACTGTGACATCCTGATCCCTGCTGCCAGTGAGAAGCAGCTGACCAAGTCCAACGCGCCCCGAATCAAAGCCAAGGTAAACGCAGAGAGGGGCTGGGCTCGCCGTCCGATCCCGTGGGCTGACGTGGGAGGGCAGAGAAGAGTGTTCATTCAGGGCAGCCTCTTTTTTACCTCTTCTTGGGGATATCATGCACATACACATACGATATAATGCACCCAAGTGTGCAGTTCAGTGGCTTCTAGTGTGTTCTGAGTTGTGCACCCATCACCATGGATTTCCTCTTAAACCATACTTCCTAAAAGTGGTCATGGAAATAGAAAGGTGAAAAATAGTTTTATATACTTTGCTTTAGAGCAAGATGGCTTTTGTTTTTGCTTTCAATTTCAGAGATAGGAAGGGAGAGAGAGAGGTATCAATGAGAGCAAAACATCTGTTGGCTGCTTCCTGCATGCCCCTGCTGAGTATCAAGCTCAAAACCCAGGCAGGTTCCCTGACCAGGAATCAAACCCGTGATCTCTTGGTGCAGGAGGCAGTGCTCCCCTGGCCAGGGCAACGTTCATTAATTCGCTAGGAACTCAAATTGCTCTCTCTCCACCTGCCTCCCGCCCATACGTGCACATCTCGTGCTCAGTGGGGGCTTTGGTGATGGGTTGTATTGCCCTGTTCCTGGCTTACAGATCATCGCCGAGGGTGCCAACGGGCCGACAACTCCAGAAGCTGATAAGATTTTCCTGGAGAGGAACATCATGGTTATTCCCGTAAGTCATCTCTGTGTGCCAGTTTTTATATGTGCTTGGAATCAGAATTGTTTTTGCAAGGAATTAGGGGGAGGGGCCGTTCGTTTCCCATGCTGTAGTGAATTCATCTTTAGTTTGCTTTTTTTTTAAGTGAATCTCTTCCCCCAAATCTCAGGCCTTGAGAATCCTCACCCAAGGGTATTTTTCTATTTATCATCAGATAGAGTGCGAGGGAGGGAGAGACTGAGGGAGAGAGAAACATCAATGTGAGAGAGACACATTGATTGGTTGCCTCCTGCATGACCTGACCAGGGCTGGGGACAAACCGCAACCGAGGTATGTGCCGCTGGCTGGCATCAAGCCAACGACTCATTCGTTGGTCCCCAGGCCAACACTCTAACCACTGAGTGAAACCGGCCAGGGCTTTAGTTTGCTTTTAAGAAAATAAAATAGAAGCATGATTGTTAGTGTCAGTTTTCACCTGAACATTTTCTTCTAATTTCAAGCTCTTTCTTGAGTATGTCATTAGCCTTCTTAAGAACCTGATTACATACATGTGTATTGTGCTAGAAATACTATTCTGACTTAAAATTAAAGATTGCTTTTATGATTCCCAACCTTCTACATTTCAAATGTTCCTGCTGCTATACGCAAAACTAATATGAGGAACACAAGTTGGGTGTTTCAGTGAGTAAGCATGAGGTCTATACCAAAAGGCTATTGAAACTTGGAAGTTAGTGTGGGCTTAGGGAGCATTTTGAAGAACCCCTTTGCTGAAAGCACTTAAAAATTTTGATGTAACAGAACTAGACTGCCCTGAGGCGGTGGCAGAGGGGCCATCCTCTGGCGAGAGGCCCAGGCGACCCGCTGCCGCCGGCAGCGCTAGGTCAGAAAGCAGTCACAGGAGAAGAGGCTCTGACCGTAGTTTATTAAATGCTTGATTAATAAAAAGTAAAAAAACTCAGATGGATTGGGAAGAGGTGTTGCTAAACTGAAGTGTGCCGTTCTTGATACTACCTAAGATACATTCGGAAGGTTTGAAGCCTAGTCCGCTTTGATATGAAAATTGAGATCTTACCTTCATTGTAAGCTTTTATTTAAAAACCACTGTCTCCCCACATGTTCCGTGTCTTCTGTTGCATCCTCGTGTCCAGGATCTCTACCTGAATGCTGGAGGGGTGACCGTGTCTTACTTCGAGTGGCTGAAGAACCTGAATCACGTCAGCTACGGACGCCTGACCTTCAAATACGAGCGGGACTCGAACTACCACCTGCTCAGTGCGTTCTGCCGCTCCTGTTCTCCAGAGTAATCTGTGGGCCGGCTGGGGGCTGGAACAAGCGTAAACTTAAGACGAGTTTATTTATTTATTTGTAATCCTAAGGAATTTAAATTAGTTTCATTACAGAAAAGTATATTATTCTATCTCATGAGTCTTAGACCAAAATACACAATTTCTATATGGATAACCAATATATTAGCTCTTTTAAATATATTTATAGTCAAATGTTTGTTCTGTGGTACAATGATCCGAGAACATGATCTACAGGTTGGTAGTAGAAAGGGTGTCGTTATAAACCGGGAACTGCTGGTGCGCACCCCACTTCTGCCTCCGGTTGCTCTTAGTCAAGGCCTGTTAGCTCGAGAATGCCCAGTGTTCTGGAGGACAATGCTGGTTTCCTTTGACAAGAGCGGCTGCAGAGTTCACAGCAGAATTCTCATCAAGCTGAAATAGACCAAGACCTCCAACCGAGCGTCTTTGCTCGGCCCCACTCAGTCTGGGCGGGGTGACCCGTCTGCTTCCCTCTTCTTCCCTCTGCGTCTTCTTCACAAAGAGCCCAGGGAAACCCTGGCAGCGGGTGCCATGGAAACAGCCGCGACCTCAATTCGCTTGTGCCGAGGGAGCGGGCAGTGCTGTCGGGTGGCAGCCCCTCACGGCACTGCTGTTGAGGCTCTGGACTGAGTCTGCAGGTTGTGAATATAGCTTGGGACAACTTTCTGTGCTACTTTATTATTGTTTGTAACGAGCATTGTCTTATCGTCTCTTGGCTTTCGTAGTGTCTGTTCAGGAGAGCTTGGAGAGGAAGTTCGGAAAGCACGGCGGGACGATTCCTGTCGTGCCCACGGCAGAGTTCCAGGACAGGATATCGGTGAGTGTGTGCCGACGCCCTCCGCACGCTGCCTCTGCAGACGCAGGGAGCGCCCTGGCTCACCGAGCAGCTGCGGCTCTGGCCCGGGGCTCTGGGTGCAGAGGCCCCACGGTGACGCGGCTGTGGCGGCGGACGGTGGTTCTGCCTCCGCCTCGCAAGCTGCTGAGGATGGGAAGTGCGAACTAGAACTGCGGGGATCGGAGTCGCCGGACGGACGCAAGTGAGAGTGAGAGCAGATTGGAGAGGCACTCACGCTAAGTAGCAGGCGGCAGGGCAGACGGACAGTGCAGACCGGCCACAGAGGGCTCCCCACCGGGAGACGACTGCAGAGAGACAGGTCGGGGGCATAGGCCTAGAAAAACGTTCAACCTCACTGTCGAAGAATACAGGTTAAAGTAAGGTTCCTTTAGTCCATTAATCTGACAAGAACAATAGACCTTATACTCTTACCGTGTCTGTAGGAAGCATTTGTACCTTTTTTCTTTTCTTTTTTTTTTTTTTAATTTTTTTTTTCCTTTATTGATTTTCGAGAGAGGAGAGGAGAGGGAGAGAGAGAGAGAAACATCAATGAAAGAGGACATCGACTGGCCGCCTCCTGCATGCCCCCCATTAGGAATCGGGCCCACAACCTGGGCATGTGCCCTGACTGGGAATCGAACCTGCGACCTCTTGGTGCAGGGTCGACGCTCAGCCACTGAGCCACACCAGCTGGACTGTACCTTTATTCTGATAAGAGTGCTAAGTTTGACTTAACTGTCATATACAGCATAAAAATGGCTCAGTTATAATGTATCTTCTTATGAAATAAAACATTCAGTCATGGGAATAAGACTATGTCAGTGGTTTTCAACTGTTGTCACCTTAGGCAAACATCAACTAATTACTAAAACTCTGTGACACACCAAAAATATTGAATTTTTTGCCGATCTGACAAAACAAAAGGTATAATTTTGATCCATTCACACTGGACAGTTATTGTTGTGTTGGCTGTTGTCATTTTTCCATTTGACAGTCTAAGGGAAAAGGGCCAGTGCCCCTGACTGAAGAGTCGGCACTGCATGTTCTAAGATTCTGGTGGCACGCCAGCGAGAATCGCTGGGCTGGACTGAAACGTGGCGAAAGTTAAGGGCTTGTTTGGAAGATGCTGTAGCCACTCTGGGTACTATCTCTTCCCCCGAATGAATCTTCCTCTGTCCCAGAGCCCTGTCTCTGTCGCGATTCCTCTCTCAGAAGTGCCCTGACCCTCCCCTTGCTCAGGTGTCTCTGCAACCTGCGGCCTCCCTGAGGTGCCCCCTGCCAGAGCTGCGTGCCTGCTCACGCCACAGGTGCCCTGGCAGCGCCGCTGCCCTTCGGGGGGCTCCTGCTCCTCCCAGTGGCCACCCCAGGTCCTGGCACCTGCCTGGCACAGGCCAGTCAATCAGAAACCTCCAGAATACAAAGATGGCAGCAGCTATGATGACTTTGATCTTATCCTTTCAAAAGAATCACCCAATGCCCAGCCGGTGTGGCTCAGTGGACTGAGCGTTGTCCCATGGACTGAGAGGTCCCGGTTCGATTCCCTCCCGGTCAGGGCACATGCCCGGGTTGCGGGCTCGGTCCTCAGGGAGGGAAATACAGGGGGATATTTCTTCCTCACATCGATGTTTCTCTCTCTCCCTTCCTCTCTCTAAAAAATCAATAAAAACATATTTTTCTTAAAACATGTTTAAATAAAATAATCGCCCAATAGGTTGGTCTCCCAATTTTCAAATGCTCTCGGTGCTGCTGGTTTTAGACGCCTGTGCTGTTTCCCACCTCTTACTTACTGTAGGAGTCTCGTAATGAAGTGCAGCTGAACAGCAGTTCTTTTCCAGCTCCTTCCTTCCACCTCCCCTTCCCCAGCCAGTCTGGCCCTTCCAAGACCTAGCGTCTCTCACTGTCCCTCATCACCACCAGTGTCTTCAGTTTCCTCTGTATCTGACTTCAGTTCCATGCTCCGTCATCACAGTGACTCCCTACTCCAGCTTTGCTTCATCAGGCCCCCTTGTTAACACCTGAACCCTGATAAAATCCAGACCTCTGCCCACTGCATGCCTGCCCCCTGTGGCTGGAGGCTGTGCATGCTGTTCAGATTCTAACCACTAGCCTCGGATCAGCCCTCAGAGCTGCCCAGTGTGATACTTTTCCCTGTTCCATTTATTTTCTCATCTCCTGAATGGATGTCCTGTCTGCTCCTCTCTCCTGCGCTCCAGCTCTGTGACCTGGTTATGCTCACAGAGAAAACTGATGCAGTCGGAGAACTTCCTCGTGTGCCCAGGTCCTGGCATCTTTCCTGCCCTGTGTCATCGCTCCTCCTGTTACTGAGCGACTCTCTGCCTTTCCAGCTGAGCCTCAGTCTCGCTCTGGGAATTGGATGGTCCATTTTCAACTTACCGAATGCACAGCTCAAGCAGATTGTCCCTCTTCTGAGCGTCCATCCCTCCCTCTGTGCGGTCATTGCTGTCAACGTACCGAATTGTCCTCTTCTGAGCGTCCATCCCTCCCTCTGTGTGGTCATTGCTGTCAGTGTACCGATGTCCTCTGCAGCGTCCATCCCTCCCTCTGTGCGGTCATTGCTGTCAGCGTACCGAATTGTCCTCTTCTGAGTGTCCATCCCTCCCTCTGTGCGGTCATTGCTGTCAGCGTACCGAATTGTCCTCTTCTGAGCGTCCATCCCTCCCTCTGTGCGGTCATTGCTGTCAGCATTCCGAATTGTCCTCTGCAGCGTCCATCCCTCCCTCTGTGCGGTCATTGCTGTCAGCGTACCGAATAGTCCTCTTCTGAGCGTCCATCCCTCCCTCTGTGTGGTCATTGCTGTCAGCGTACCGAATTGTCCTCTGCAGCGTCCATCCCTCCCTCTGTGCGGTCATTGCTGTCAGCGTACCGAATAGTCCTCTTCTGAGCGTCCATCCCTCCCTCTGTGTGGTCATTGCTGTCAGTGTACCGATGTCCTCTGCAGCGTCCATCCCTCCCTCTGTGTGGTCATTGCTGTCAGCATACCGAATTGTCCTCTTCTGAGCGTCCATCCCTCCCTCTGTGCGGTCATTGCTGTCAGCGTACCGAATAGTCCTCTTCTGAGCGTCCATCCCTCCCTCTGTGCGGTCATTGCTGTCAGCATACCGAATTGTCCTCTTCTGAGCGTCCATCCCTCCCTCTGTGCGGTCATTGCTGTCAGCATACCGAATTGTCCTCTTCTGAGCGTCCATCCCTCCCTCTGTGCGGTCATTGCTATCAGCGTACCGATGTCCTCTGCAGCGTCCATCCCTCCCTCTGTGCGGTCATTGCTGTCAGCGTACCGATGTCCTCTGCAGCGTCCATCCCTCCCTCTGTGCGGTCATTGCTGTCAGCGTACCGAATAGTCCTCTTCTGAGCGTCCATCCCTCCCTCTGTGCGGTCATTGCTGTCAGCGTACCGAATAGTCCTCTTCTGAGCGTCCATCCCTCCCTCTGTGCGGTCATTGCTGTCAGCGTACCGAATTGTCCTCTGCAGCGTCCATCCCTCCCTCTGTGCGGTCGTTGCTGTCAGTGTACCGAATTGTCCTCTTCTGAGCGTCCATCCCTCCCTCTGTGCGGTCGTTGCTGTCAGTGTACCGAATTGTCCTCTTCTGAGCGTCCATCCCTCCCTCTGTGTGGTCATTGCTGTCAGCGTACCGATGTCCTCTGCAGCGTCCATCCCTCCCTCTGTGCGGTCATTGCTGTCAGCGTACCGAATTGTCCTCTTCTGAGCGTCCATCCCTCCCTCTGTGCGGTCGTTGCTGTCAGTGTACCGAATTGTCCTCTTCTGAGCGTCCATCCCTCCCTCTGTGTGGTCATTGCTGTCAGCGTACCGATGTCCTCTGCAGCGTCCATCCCTCCCTCTGTGCGGTCATTGCTGTCAGCGTACCGAATTGTCCTCTTCTGAGCGTCCATCCCTCCCTCTGTGTGGTCATTGCTGTCAGCGTACCGATGTCCTCTGCAGCGTCCATCCCTCCCTCTGTGCGGTCATTGCTGTCAGTGTACCGAATTGTCCTCTTCTGAGCGTCCATCCCTCCCTCTGTGCGGTCATTGCTGTCAGCGTACCAGATTCTGTCTTACAGATACCTTCATCTTGGTCCCACTTCCTCTTCCTGCCTTGCCGTTCTACTTCCCTTATTGCAGCCTCCTTGAGAAGTGTATGGAGCCCTGAGCAGTGGTTAGAGCATCGGCCTGCGGTTCAGAGAGACCCGGGTTCGGTTCCCGCTAAAGCACGTACCTCAGTTATAGTTTGTCCCTGGCCCTGGTTGGGTCGTGTGGGTGGCAGCTACTCGATGTGTCCCTTTCACATTGATGTTTCTCTCTCTCTCTCTCTTCTTCTCTCCCTCCCACTCTCTGAACAAAAAATGGAAAAGTGTCCTCGGGTGAGGATTAAAAAATATATATATATATATGGACTCTGTGTCCAGTTCTTCTTCTACACTTGAACCTACTCCTGTGCCCATCGCTCCACTGAAGTTGTTAAAGCTGTTCTAGTCGAGGTGACAGTACCACCAGCACCACCAGGTCCAGTGGTCATTGCCCAGTCCTCGCCTGCCATCGCCGTCTGCCGGGCTGTCACAGTGCTCCCTTCCCCTGAAATGCCCTCTCCCCTTAGGCCCAGGACCACACGCATCTGGGCTTCCTGCCCCACTAGCCATTCCGCCCTGTTCCTTCGCTGACCCTCGCGGCCCTGCACTGCCTGCGCTGGGCTTGTCCCGGCCAGTTCTGTCTGAGTTCATCCTAACTTGATAGAACTAAATAAAGTTTAAACCAAATGTTTCCTAGTTGATACAAATGTTATAGATATATACCTTCTTAATTGAATTGTGTTAACTGGATGACGTTCAGCATAGATACCTTATATTGGTGACCCACTTAAAGTTTTAATCTAGCATGTCAAGATACGTGTTTGATCACTATGTATGTCATGTTAGGAGTGGTGGTGATAGTTAACTGTCCCAAAATGAGATGACTGGCATAGGAAAGAGATTATATCCTAGCTCTAAAAATAGCTATTGGTGAACTTGGTCAACTTCTCTGACAGTGTCCTCATCAGTAGAACCAGGGTTAGTGAGGGCTGCTGACATCCATCCAGCTCTAAAAGTTGGTGACACTGCTGAGTGGAGAGTCAGGAGTGTACCCCAGAGCTGCCCCTGGGGGTGGCAGGGGCTGTGTGGCTGGGCCCAGGGGTGGCAGGGGCTGTGTGGCTGGGCCTGGGCATGGCAGGGGCTGTGTGGCTGGGTCTGGGCGTGGCAGGGGCTGTGTGGCTGGGCCCGGGCGTGGCAGGGGCTGTGTGGCTGGGCCTGGGCGTGGCAGGGGCTGTGTGGCTGGGTCTGGGCGTGGCAGGGGCTGTGTGGCTGGGGCTGTGTGGCTGGGTCTGGGCGTGGCTGGGGCTGTGTGGCTGGGTCTGGGCGTGGCAGGGGCTGTGTGGCTGGGTCTGGGCGTGGCAGGGGCTGTGTGGCTGGGCCTGGGCGTGGCAGGGGCTGTGTGGCTGGGCCTGGGCGTGGCAGGGGCTGTGTGGCTGGGTCTGGGCGTGGCAGGGGCTGTGTGGCTGGGTCTGGGCGTGGCAGGGGCTGTGTGGCTGGGCCTGGGCGTGGCAGGGGCTGTGTGGCTGGGTCTGGGCGTGGCAGGGGCTGTGTGGCTGGGCCTGGGCGTGGCAGGGGCTGTGTGGCTGGGTCTGGGCGTGGCAGGGGCTGTGTGGCTGGGCCTGGGCGTGGCAGGGGCTGTGTGGCTGGGCCTGGGCGTGGCAGGGGCTGTGTGGCTGGGGCTGGGCGTGGCAGGGGCTGTGTGGCTGGGGCTGGGCGTGGCAGGGGCTGTGTGGCTGGGGCTGTGTGGCTGGGCCTGGGCGTGGCAGGGGCTGTGTGGCTGGGTCTGGGCGTGGCAGGGGCTGTGTGGCTGGGCCCAGGGGTGAGCACAGAGACATGAACGTGGAGCCTGTGGTGTGGTGGCACTTCTGGTTGGCTGGCGCTCACGTCACCCGGGCCTCGTGCCCTGTCCTTGCAGTTTCACCATGTGAGATCGCACTTCATGAGTATTTGTTTGCTATCAAATACAATGAAAAATAAATTATGGTTAAAATACAACTACCTAATTAGGCATGAAGGTATTATGGAGAAATTGGAGTATCTTTATAGTTCTTTCTGGCTGTATATTGACTTAAGAACCCTTTGTGCTCACACAGGTGGAGCGTGTTCGTGCAGTTTTATTAAATGTCTGTTCTCTCCCTAACAGGGGGCGTCTGAGAAAGACATCGTGCACTCTGGCTTAGCCTACACCATGGAGCGTTCCGCCAGGGTACGTGTGCCGCGTGCGCGTCTGCTGGGGCCGAGGGCCGGCAGCCGTCACCAGCCCTCGCTCGTGGGGAGGAACACAGGGAGCGGCGTGGCCATGGGAGACGTCGTCTGTTCACACGTCCTCGTGTGTGCGGCAGAAACGTGTGCTTTTCCCATCTTAAGTGATAAACATTGTTTCCGGGTCTTCGGTGTATTTGCCAGGCCATGGAGATGACGTGTAACACCGAGCAGGAGGAGTGACGTCTGGCAGGGAGGTAGATGTCAGGTAGTCGGCCGAATTGGACGGCCGCTCAGCGCATGCTCCGCTGTAGCCACAGGAAGCCGCCTCTGATTTAAACAGAAGGTTTTGACCACTCGATTCTTATTTCAAGAATTTAAACATAGTTTAAGTCCTAATTTCTAATTTCTTCTTGAGTTCAGATTCTGTCTGCTTGGATCTGAGTTGAAACAGCACACACATATTAAGAAGAAGGTTTTTGAGATGCCCCTTGGCAGCCTGAGCACTTGCCCAGCTGTGCCGTCAGCACCCCTGACTAGAGAGCGTTTTCCTCGCTCCAGTCTCGGTTCTTGGGAGTGACCGCAAAGTACGCAGAACGGACTCCCTCCGATAGCAGGGTGTCGGGGGGCACAGACACCCACACCTAGAATTCTCGGTTCTTGGGAGTGACCGCAAAGTACGCAGAACGGACTCCCTCCGATAGCAGGGTGTCGGGGGGCACAGACACCCACACCTAGAATTCTCGGTTCTTGGGAGTGACCGCAAAGTACGCAGAACGGACTCCCTCCGATAGCAGGGTGTCGGGGGGCACAGACACCCACACCTAGAATTCTCGGTTCTTGGGAGTGACCGCAAAGTACGCAGAACGGACTCCCTCCGATAGCAGGGTGTCGGGGGGCACAGACACCCACACCTAGAATTCTCGGTTCTTGGGAGTGACCGCAAAGTACGCAGAACAGACTCCCTCCGATAGCAGGGTGTCGGGGGGCACAGACACCCACACCTAGAATTCTCGGTTCTTGGGAGTGACCACAAAGTACGTAGAACGGACTCCCTCCGATAGCAGGGTGTCAGGGGGCACAGACACCCACACCTAGAATTCTCAGTTCTTGGGAGTGACCACAAAGTATGAAGAACGGACTCCCTCCGATAGCAGGGTGTCTGGGGGCACAGACACCCACACCTAGAATTCTCAGTTCTTGGGAGTGACCACAAAGTATGAAGAACGGACTCCCTCCGATAGCAGGGTGTCGGGGGGCACAGACACCCACACCTAGAAAGCTGAAGGGCAGCTTTTTACTGCTGCCCAGACACTGGCTTGTTTAATTCCAGCGCATTAGTCCTTCCTGGCTGGGGTTACTCTGCGCCTGAGTAGCTCCCCTTGGGCTGCCCACGGCCTGCACTGAAATGGTGACGGGTGGCTTGTACCCGCCCACAGTGCCTGGTGTGTGGGTGCCTGGATGCTAGAGTTGGGGTGGTCTTCACTGCTTTTTCTGATTCCTCTCAGCAAATCATGCGCACAGCCATGAAGTACAACCTGGGGCTGGACCTGAGAACAGCTGCCTACGTCAACGCCATCGAGAAGGTCTTCAAGGTGTACAACGAAGCCGGCGTGACCTTCACGTAGGGCGGGGCAGCCATGCTCCGCCGCCTCTGCCTGTCCGTCGCAGACCTGCACGCTCACATGTAACCGCCGACCTTCCTCATCCTTCCTAGCTAGTGGACACCGTCCTCAGCACATCCATCCCCGTCAGCCCGAGTTAGGGAATCGTGTACAGAGCTAACAGTAGGTGCCAGAGAGCCCTGTGGGTGCTTTGCCTTTACATAGAGTCCCTTCTACCTGGCTGCCCCGCCCCGCCCCGCCGCCCCCACGCAGCTGTGCGGGACACCTGTGGCCCACGGCCGTCCATTGCTCGTTGCTCCAGCTCTGGCTGAGTCTGAGACGTGCTGTGACTTTGACGCGTATAGAAGCAAGTGTGTGGCATTTCCCGAAGGCAGCGTGGTCCTGGTCCTCAGTGAGTTATTGGTATTTCATATCAGCAAAAGAACTCAATTCTATAGATGGATGGCAAACACAAATAAAAGCTGTTTTTCCTTATGCATTTATTCTTTTAGAATAAAACAAGTACATGCTGCTGTAATAAAATTGCCTTTAATCACTCAATAAGCCTAACCTTGACTCCAGCGGTGAATGCCTATAAACATGAAAGAAAAAGCTAGTATTTTTATAACACAAAACTGTCATTTATAGCCCATCAGTAGTATATTGTCCAACAAATCAGAAGCCAGTGGGTGCTCAGTCACCCTTGCGCATGGTCCTGAGCAGCAGATGACAGAGGCCGTTTCTGTTAAGACCGTTGGAGTCTATTAACCACGTTTATGACATTAGTCCAAAGGATGCAGTAACCTCCTCATGTTAATTGCTCTTCTCTTCAAAATCTATTGTGTTGACTGATTGAACAATAATTCAAGTAGTATCCCAGAAAAAACCACCTGGCTGCAGCTCTGAGCATCGCAATAACGGCCCTGACTGTGGGTCCTCTCCAGGGGCCTCCCCCAGCCAGCGTCACCGGCACGGCCGGGGCTGGTGGGGTCGTGTGCGTGCTTTGCCAGGGCCTTCTGAACAGCAGTGTCTCGATGAAGTGCTAGATATTTATGTAAGAATGAGCTTTTTCTTTTTTAACAATAATATCCTTTCAGAAATTTCTAACTACTTTGTAACTGCATGACTTAACCTGGTGATAAAAGCAGTTATTAAAAGTCTACCTTTTCCAAAGTTTATGTTTCTTTTCTGTTTCTATATTAAAAGTGTCTCTTAGATGGTAAAAATGCAATTAGGTTTCTGAAATTTTTGATGCAACCACCTGATAACATTACTTTCCACTGTATTGTGAGTGATCAGACTTTGTTGTTGAATTCTTTTGTTTCGTTCTGTTGAACAGTATAAGGGGCTATTCTTGGGGAAGAGTTTCTAGTGCTTAAAGCTGATGTACTGAAGTAATTTTTAATGCTTTTTTTTAATGAAGGAAGTTTTCATTGATTAGGATTTGCTTTTTTTTAATTTTTTAAAATCCTAATCAAGGATATTTTTCCATTGATTTTTAGAAAAAGGGGGAGAGAGAGATAAAAACATTGATGAGAGAGAACATCGATTGGCCACCTCCTGCATACCCCCCCCACTGGGGACCTCTTGGTGCATGGGTCGATGCTCAACCACTGAGCCACACCTGCCAGGCTAGGGTTTGTTTTTAATAAATTAGCCACACGTCCTGGTTTGTGTAGCTCAGTGGTTAAGTGTCGTCCCATGCATCTAGAGGTTGCCAGTTCGATTCCTGGTCAGGGCACGTGGCCAGGTTGCAGGCTCGATCCCCAGTGGGGGGCGTGCAGGAGGCGGCTGGTTGATGTTCTCTCTCACATCGATGTTTATATCTCTCCCTTCCTCTCTAAAAGAGTCAATAAAAACCTATTTAAGATAATAATATTTTAGGACAGAATCCTAACCATAATCAGCAGAAGTGGATTCGAGACCTGATCCCACCTATTACTTAGCTGCCGAATCTGGAGCATGACTTTGAGCTCGGCTCTGCTTCGCCCTGGTCAGGGCGGACGAGCAGGCCCGTGGGCAGCGAGCCCACACTCCCGGTGTCTGCACTCGGGCCGAGCACGAGCAGGCTGGAGGGAGGCACGACCAAGTCCCGGGCAGCACAGGACTGGGCGGGCGTGGGTTCCGGTCCCGGGCCAGCAGGGGCACGTCTCAGTCCTGGCCTTGGCTGGCAGGCTGGCAGGAGTTGGGGGTTTGGTTTTTTTATGGATTTGGTGACGTCGAAGTGTGCTCCTGGTGTTGACATTAGAAAGGTGGTGATGCCATGAAAGAACGTACACTAGTGTCCACTCGCTGGCTCCTGGAGTAGAGCTGGAAATTCTGGTCGTTCAGGTGCCTCGTGGACCCCACACTAGCACCTTTTCACCCCGATAGAGGGAGTGTAGGGAAATGAGAGGTAAAAGCTTGTTTTTGAGTTTTTTAAAGCTGTGCTTCTCAATTCCTTGGGTTGGTGATCTACTTTTTTAAGAAAAGAGCCTGGCCCTGGCCGGTTTGGCTCAGCGGTTAGAGCGTCGGCCTGCGGTCCGGAGAGACCCGGGTTCGGTTCCCGCTAAGGGCACGTACCTTGGTTGCAGTTTGTCCCCAGCCCTGGTTGGGTCGTGTGGGTGGCAACCGCTCGATGTGTCGCTTTCACGTCGATGTTTCTCTCTCTCTCTCCTTCCTCTCTCTCCCTTTCACTCTATCTGAACAAAATATCAAAAAATGTCCTCGGGTGAGGATAAAAAAAGAAAAGAGCCTGGCCCTGGCCAGGTTCCTCAGTTGGTTGGAGCATTGTCTGGTACACCAAAAGGTTGTGGGTTCGAGCCCTGGTGGGGCGTGTTCAGGGAGCGCAGCAGCCAGTGTTTCTCTTCACGTGGATGTTTTTCTTTCTCTCTTCCTCTCCCTCTGAAATCAGTAGACATATCCTCGGGTGAGTATTGCACAATAAAAAGCCTGGCATCTCAGCTCACAAGCTCTAAGTAGATTCCTTGCCTGCTCCTCACGAGGCCGTCGTGGTGTGGCTCGGGACAGGCCACGTCTGCGGGCGCACGGGGACCTGCACAGCGGCTGTGCCTCAACGTGGCGTACGGCTCGTCCTTGCGTCTGTTTCTCCGTCAAAGTTTACACATAGTGTAGGGAGTTTCTCAGTCTCAGCACTGTTGACATTTCAAACCATTTGTTTTGGGGACCATCCTGTGCATTGTAGGATGTTCAGCACCCCTCACTTGTGGTCATCAAAAATGTGTTCAGTAAAGTTCAACATAAGGAGTCCAGTCAGTACTGTAATAACTATGTATAGTGTCAGATGGGTAAAAAGAATTATCAGGATGATTTCATAAATTATATAATTGTCTAGCCAACATGCTGTACACCTGAAACTAATATAAAATAATACTGACTGTCACCTGTAGTTGAAAAAAATTACAATGAAAGGAAATGTTGAGTGTATTCAGATAGCCAAATGTCCCCTGAGGGGCAGAGTCGCTCCCTGTTGAGAATTGGTGGGAAGCAAATCGTCCTGCCGTGAGTGATAGACAGCTTGTCCCCTCTGATTCGGGTACTCGACTCACCATCTTCCACTCCCCAGAGCCAGCTACTTCCAGAAATTTTAAATATTTTTGTTCAAATCCTTTGCCCATGTTTTAAAATATTTTCTCTTTATTGATTTTATTTTATTTTTTATTGATTTTAGAGAGAGAGTAAAAGAGAGAGAGAAACATCAATGAGAGAGAACATCAATTGGCCACTTCCTGCACACCCCCCACTGGGGATCTGGCCCACAACCTGGGCATGTGCCCTGACCAAGAATTGAATCCGCAACCTCCTGGTGCATAGGTCGACATCCAACCACTGAGCCACACCAGCTGGGCATCCTTTGCCCATTTTTTATTAGGTTATGTATTACTTTATTGCGTTGTGAGAGTGTTTTATATAGTCTGGATGTGTGACTCATGATTTGCAAATATCTTCTCATCTATTTATCTTTTTTCTTTTTTTTTTTTTTGCATTTATCTTCAGATAGAGCGGGAGGGAGAGAGGAAGGGAGAGAGAGAGAGAGAGACATCGAGTGGTCGCCACCTACACAACCCATCCGGGGCTGGGGACAAAACACAACCGAGGTCCGTGCCCATAGCGGGCATCCAACCGGGGCCTCTCTGGTCCCCGGGCCCACCTCTACCCGCTGAGCCCAGCTGGCCAGGGCTTACGTAAGGATTTTTATGTAAAATATACATCCTCGAAGAAACGGAGAATATCACAAACATGAGCCAGATGAAGTCTTGAGGAAGCAGAGATGGGCGATTCTGAGCGTGAAATACATGATCGTGGAAAGAAAGCTAAAGGAGAAGCTGAAGAGCAGGAAGAGCGAGTGGAGACAGCACCTGGGAGCGCAGGGGACAGCCGCAGAGGCGTCCTTCCAGACGTGTGTCCGCGCTCCCCGCGCGCACACACCAGAGGGGGGGGCTCGGATGCGAGAGGAAGACAAGGGGAACGAGAGGAAGACAAGGGGAACGAGAGGAGCCGGCAGAGCCCTGGCACAGACCGCCCACGCTCTGCTCCGGTGCGGAGGACACACCCAGTTCTCCGCCTCTCGGGACCTTGTCTTGTAATCCTCACCTGAGGACAGTTCCGCATTGATCTTCAGGTAGAGCGGGAGGGAGAGAGAAACATCGAAGTGAGAGAGACACATAGACTGGTCGCCACCCACACGACCCCAACCGGGGCCGGGGACAAACCACAACCGAGGTACGTGCCCTTAGCGGGAACCGAACCTGGGTCTCTGGACCGCAGGCCGACGCCCTAACCGCTGAGCCAAACCGGCCAGGGTGGAAGTATTATTCTTTTATATGGAATGCTATTTTAAAAAGCAGTAACGAAATACATGAAATAGTAATAGTGTTAATATAGAATAAATTTGTAGATGTGTTTTTCCATTAAAAAATAAAAGTATAGCCCTGGCCGGTTTGGCTCAGCAGTCAGAGCGTCGGCCCGTGGACCAATGAGTCGTGGGCTTGATTCTGGTCAAGGGCACAGACCTCGGTTGCAACTTGTCCCCGGCCCTGGTTGGCCTTGTGTGGGAGGCAGCCACTCGATGTGTCCCTTTCATGTCGATGTTTCTCTCTCTCTCTCCCTCTTCCTCCCTCTCTCTCCCTTCCACTCTATCTGAACAAAAATGGAAATATGTCCTTGGGTGAGGATTAAAAAAAAAAAGTAGACTAGTGGTTACCAGGGGCGTGAGGGCGTGAGGAGTGAGCACTTAATTTTTTCTGAGGTGGTGACAGAGTTTTGAAACTAGAGAGAAGTGATGGTTGCACAACATTGTGAATACACTAAATGTCACTGAATGGTGTGTTATATAAATTACTTCAATTAAAAATAAAGGATGGGCCCTCGCCAGGTGGTTGGGTGGTTAGAGAGCCGTCCCACTATGCCCAGGCTGAGGCTCGGTCTCCAGTCAGGGCACGGACAAGAAGCAACCGGTGAAGGCATGAACAGTTGGAACTACAGACCAGTGTCTCTCTCTCTCTCAAAATCAATAAATTTAAAAAGAATAAATAATGGAAAAAAAAAAAAACCCATCAACTTAAAGTTGAACTTCAGGGACCGCCCAGGGAGCACCGCAATGTCGCCCTGTGAGCTGAGTGGACACGGGCGTCGCCCTCCCACCCCCACCCCCCGCCCCGGGAAAGCCTGCGGCAGAGGTGCTCGTCCAGGGCAGTGTTCTCAGGCAGTCACGGGAACCTGGGGGTGTTTGCGCCTTTGCGGCTCTGCAGTAGGTCCCGGAGCTGTGTCACGAGCCACCGCCTGGGTCCTGCAGGTCTCCCCTGATGACAGCAGGGTCAGCAGCATGGCGTGGGGGCCCATAGGTTAAGTATACTGTGCCCGTGTGAGGCAGGAGGCTGTGGTTGCTGGATATATGATTCTTGGTTGACAGTCTTGTTTTCCCAGCACTTTGAAAAGTCATCCCATCTTCTGGCCTCTATAGTTTCTGATGAGAAATCACCTGCTAATCCTTTTGAAGCTCCCTTTTTATGTGATGGCTTGTTTTTCTCCTTCTGTTGCAGGATTCTCTGTCTTGCAAAAGTTTTGTTTGTTTGTTTGTTTGTTTGTTTGATCCTCACCTGAGGACATTTTTTGACATTTTGTTCAGATAGAGTGGGAGAGAGGGAGAGAGAGAGAGAG